CCGACTAGTAATAATTACTTAGTTAAATTAACTAACTTAATTTAAATTTAACTTAATAATACTAGACTACTAGTATATAGTATATGTGTTGTTGTTGTCGCATAGTATATATATATATATATATATATATATATATATGGGTGTGGTTTGCATAAGGTTGCAACCTTAAACCATCCAATTAAGGTGCACCTCTAAATCTTATCATAAATGTAATTTTGATATCAAAATTCTTAAGATGGCTTGAGAATCTATTTTCATCTCTAATTATAAACTTTTAAACTCTAAACATGGTTCAAATCAAGTAGATCTAAAAAAACATGAAAATCTTGAAAATGGATGGTCTAGATAATGTGTTGCAAGATACACTTTGTCGCGGACTCGAAATCTTTTTTTCTTTTCATATTCATACATCTCGATGTCGAGATGATCAATTAGAAGTTTTCCAACATCCAAACAACCTTTTATGATGGATTTTTTGGGTGCATCTTTGATTCTACATTTTAAAGTTGCAACCTTATATAAACTTTTTCCTATATATATATATATATGAAAAAGGATGAGGTACGCACTCTCGCGTACCCCTTTGCCATACAGCCAACTACGTTCATTTTCTCCGTAAAGACTTTTATATAGAGCTGGGTTCATCTTCCCCAATGGCTATTCCATGGAATAAAGAGGTTAACAAGGCCATGTAAATGTAAAATAAATTTGAAACTATGAATTTTGGGACATGAATGAAGGTATCACGCTTTTCTAAATCTTGTCCAGATTCCATAATAGGCCCAATATGCCGTGCAAAATTGTGCTATTGTGTGGAAATTCCAAATCATAGTGGTTCATAACAATTGTAACCTAATGCATTTGCTAAAATCATAACTATCCCAGCAATCTCCATTGGTATTTGTGGAGAGCAATTATGCTTTTTTCCTTAACAGTGTCAATTTGAAACTTGAGGTTATCTGCAGAGTCGCTGGTGGCATTGGGAACCATGCTGATGTCGCCATTAGAGGACGCTGCAATTACAGATCAATGTAGTGGTTTAAAAAATGGATTGATACCCCAGATCGGGCACCCAAAAACCCATCCGGATCGGTGAATCGACATTTCGGATCGGGAATCGGTCGCCGATTCGGCCTTAAAAAAAATCCAAAAAAATTATTATCGATGTTGCTTTTTAGAAATCCAATAAGAAATAGGGTACTACATTAAAAACTTTCATTTTTTTGCATCAATATGCGAATATTGAGATCTACTTCCCCGTTTCAATAAATTTAAAATTTGTCTTATAATCATCTAATTTTTTTTAAAAAAAATTTACAGTTATAATAAAAATAATACATTATATAATTTATAATGTAAATAAATAAACAAATAAAATACAAGATTTGGTAATCAATGTATAATTATTAATTATAATATTGTAATAAACATGATTCAAAAAACAAAGGTGTGACCCTTACAAATAAATAAATCTATAAAAGTATAGAATTTAGAAATGTAACTTTGTAATTACATTATAATAAAATTAGAAAATTAAATAAATATAATACTTGCAATTTGGGATAATTGACAAAGCAACTTTAAAATAGATTTTAAAGTGGTTTGGGCTAGTGTTATTTTTTCTCTTAAAATATCCTATAAACTAGTAATATTTTTTAATGGTCAATAAACTAGTATTAATGTTATTTTTTGTTGTTCTAATATCCTATGAACTAGTATTATTTTTTTCTTTTTAACCTCTATTAACCAATAGCCTAATGCCTAATATCTAATAAGGGGGCTATTTTTTATAGCAAAAGGGCTTAATTTTAATAGTGGACTTTATTAATGCCAGGAGACGATAGACAGAAATTTGCCCCACATCGAAAATATGTGGGAGCAGTTTACCATATAAAAGTAGCACTATGGCAGTTTACCATAGTACAAGGCCACCTGCGTAATTTGCTGGCATAAAAGATAAGGGAGTGATGACTTTGATTTGCTAGTATAAAAGACAAGTGATTTGCTGGCAAAAAAGACAAGGGAGTGATGACTTGATGACGTCAGAATCATTAAGCATAAAAGACAGGGCCGCACGCATCGATTTTTTTCAATAGAGAAAGCCAAAAAAGATAGAACTGCCCGGATCCCGTCTTATTGGTCGATCCGAAACGGTATCACCGATACCCGATCTGGATCGTCCGATTCCGGATCGCATCGGCAATGTTTTATACACTGGATCAATGGCAGCCAACAAAGAGATGGTGGGAGACAAAACTATGAGGAAGTTGATGGCAAGAACCAATGGTCATTGAGGTCAGCTTTCTGGAAAGTCAAGGTGGATGAACACATGAGATTTCTGCAAGAGATGGAGATATGGGTTTTTGCAGAGAGAGAGAGAGTAAGGAGAGAGGAATAGAGAGAGAGTTTGAGAGAGAAAGACATGGTTTTTAACAGAGAGAGAAAGAGCAAGGACAGCGAAAGAGAGAGTTTGAGAGAGATTGGTTTGAGCCTGATAGTTGCAGAGGGAGAGAGCTTATTTTTGGAGAGAGAGAAAGAGTGGAAAGAAAAAGAGGGAGAGTTTGATGGGAAGGGAGGAGCAATGTTTAAAAAATCGACGATTCGATCCGAAATCGGGCGATCCGTACCGGTGATACCATTCTGGATTCACTAATAAAACGGGATCCAGGCGGTTCCATCTTTTTTTGGCTTTTTCTATTGAAAAAATCCGATGCGGGCAGCCTTATCTTTTATGCTTAATGATCCTGACGTCATCAAGTCATCACTCCCCTGTCGTTTATGCCAACATATCACTTATCTTTTATACCAACAAATCAAAGTCATCACTCCCTTGCCTTTTATACCAGAAAATCATGCAGGTGGCCTTGTACCATGTCCCTCATCCTATAATGCTACATTTATATGGTAAACTACTCCCACATCTTTTCGATGTGGGCCAAATTTCTCTATCTATTGTCTCCTAGAGTTAATAAAGTCCACTATTAAAATTAAAATTAAAATTAAGCCCTTTTCCTATACAAAATAACCCCCTTATTAGATATTAGGCATTAGGCAATTGGTTAATAAAGATTAAAAAGAAAAAAACAGTACTAGCTCATAGGATATTAGAACAACAAAAAATAATATTAATACTAGTTTATTGACCATTAAAAAAAAATACTAGTTTATGGGATATTTTAAGAGAAAAAAATAACACTACCCCAAACCACTTTAAAATCTATTTTAAAGTTGCTTTGTCAATTATCTCACATGGCAAGTATGATATTTATTTATTTTTCTAATTTTATTATAATGCAATTACAAATTTACATTTCTAAATTCTATACTTTAGTAGATTTATTTATTTATAAGGGTCACACCTTTGTTTTTTTAATCATGTTTATTACAATACTATAATTAATAACTATACATTGATAACCAAATCTTGTATTTTATTTGTTTATTTATTTACATTATAAATTATATAATGTATTATTTTTATTATAGATGTAAATAATTTGTTTTTAAAATTAGATGATATTATAAGACAAATTTTAAATTTATTCATATAGGGAAAGAACATCTCAATATTCGCATATTGATGCAAAAAATGAAAGTTCTTAATGTAGTACCCCCATTTCTTATTGGATTCCTAAAAAGCAATATTTATAATGATTTTTAATTATTTTTTTGGACTTTTTTAAGGCTAAATCCAACCGATTTCTGATCCGAAAAGTCGATTCACCGATCCGAATGGGTTTTTGAGGTGCACGATCAAGGACACAGATCCGTTTTTTAAACCATTGGGGAGGAATCAGAGAGAGAGAGAGAGAGAGAAAACACATTTCTTGAATTGCGGTTTTTGAGGTGGCAGGTGTAAGTGCCAGGGGGCAGGTTTAGGAAAGCTCTTATTTGAACAGGTATTAAATGTTCCCCTAAAACTCTATTGTGACCGTTCGTTCTCAAACCACCTTTCATTAATGACATTGGCATATGGCAAAAGGGTACGCGAGAGTGTGTACCTCATCCTTTTCCTATATATATACATAGATATATAGATTATTTAGGGTACACATGTGAGCATTTACTAAATGTACTCAACATTTTTTTACATTTAATACCCTTACCCTATGGTGCAGTAACCTTTTGTCTAGGGGTATTTTAAGTAAATATTCAAAGGCAAGGTACAAATTCATGATACAAAAAAGAGCATTTATTAATTATAGTGGAGAATGATATCATCCACATTGGATGTGACATCACCAATATGGAGTATTAAATGGCACTAAATTTTTATAGAAATATCTATCATAACCTTCCTAATGACAAAACTATCCTTGCTCTAAAACATTTTGTACTACAAAGCAAGTGTAATTAGTGCCCAAATATGTTGTGTATATTTAGTAAATGATCACATGTACGTGTACCCTAACATATATATATAAATACATATATATATATATATATATATATATATATATGGGTTTTGTTAGGCTACACCACTTGGTGATGTAGACCCTTAAAGTACTCAACATTTTTTGACACTAAAATACCCTTAAATTGTAATACAAAATTTTCAAGTAGGGGCATTTTTGGTCATTTAGAAGGGTAGAATGGATATTTTTATAAGAAAATAGTGGCATTCTATTAGTAGTTAAAAGCAATTAATGCGTCTTATGGGTGATGTCACACACCATATCGGTGATGTCATTGTCCACTATTAATAAATGCTTTTGTTTCTATTAGGAATTTCTAGTCTACCCTTGACTAATTACTTAAAATACCCCTAAACAAAAAGTTACTATACTATAGGAAAAGTGTATCTAAATGTCTAAAAATATTGAGCACTTTAAGGGTCTACACCACAAGTGGTGTAGCCTAACAAAAGCCTATATCTATATATATATATATATATATATAAATGATCCTGTGAGCCAGTGGGCTTACAAGTAAAATGAGCCCAACCGCCCAAATTGAATCTGGGCTGATCTGACGATCACGGATGTCCAATATTGTTTGAATTTTAATTTTTTTTCTACAAATCCACATTACTTAAAATTTTAGGAGTGTGTTCTTCTCATCAAACCGCACCTAATAAAAATATAAAAAAAATAATCCGCAAAAACGAAATTAACCAAAATACCCCCGAAGCTTTATGGGGCCATTTTGGTCAATTTTTTTCATGTAAAATTATTTTTTGATATTTTTCAAAGATTCACCTATTTTTTATGAACACACACTTAAAATTCAAGTTATTTGGTTTGTAGAAAAAAAAGATAATTCAAACACTATCGGGCATCCGTGATCGTCAGATCGGCCCAGATTCAATCTAGGCCATTGGGCTCATTTTTACTTGTGAGCCCACTGGCACATAGGATCATTTTCCATATATATATATATATATATATATATATATTTCAACCATGTCAAACTAAGAAATCTTCATTCTTTTATAATGTATATAAATAAAGAAACTACTGTGTGCATTTAGAATCATGGCAAGGTCTTCCAACTTCTGAGTAGAAGTATTTAAGCTATGAGTTTCAAGAAAATATAGCAATATAGCTGGTAGGACCTTAGGATTATATGTTTCTACTGAAATCACTGTGAGAATTGTTGTGCCCCCTAAAATAGAAGCTGTTAGAAGTGACCCAAGCTAGCAGCCATATCTTGGCTGTGACAAGCAAGGCAAGTATGCCCCCATATGAATCGGACTACATGAATGGCTTCTGACTCTAATGTTTGCCTATAAACATAGAAGTTTGCCTATTCTTAACAATTTTCGGATTAGGTCTTGCCTATACTTCATATTATATTGCAACTTAAAGAGAGAAAAGTAAAATGTGCTCCACAAGAGAGACCCTAAATGGAAACCTGTAAAGGTTCTTCAACCTCTTCGACCTGCAGGTTTGTTTCTGAGACTTCTTCACATGTGGAACGTCTTCCAACTTCTGAGTAGAAGTATTTAAGCTATGAGTATCAAGAAAATAAAGCAATATAGCTGGTAGGACGTTAGGATTATATGCTTCTACTGAAATCACTGTGAGAATTGTTGCGCCCTCTAAAATAGAAGTTGTTAGAAGTGACCCAAGCTAGCAGCCATATCTTGGCTGTGACAAGCAAGGCAAGTATGCCCCCATATGAATCGGACTACATGAATGGCTTCTGACTCTAATGTTTGCCTATAAACATAGAAGTTTGCCTATTCATAGACGTTAGGATTATATGCTTCTACTGAAATCACTGTGAGAATTGTTGCGCCCTCAAAAATAGAAGCTGTTAGAAGTGACCCAAGCTAGCAGCCATATCTTGGCTGTGACAAGCAAGGCAAGTATGCCCCCATATGAATCAGACTACATGAATGGCTTCTGACTCTAATGTTTGCCTATAAACATAGAAGTTTGCAACTTAAAGGGAGAAAAGTAAAATGTGCTCCACAAGAGAGACCCTAAATGAATACCTGTAAAGGTTCTTCAACCTCTTCGACCTGCAGGTTTGTTTCTGAGACTTCTTCACATGTGGAAGGCTTTCTCGGTCGAGGTGGGTGAGGAGTGGTTGTCTTAGGAGTCCTGGGGCTTGTTTTGACTGTTGACGCATCGGGCTCCTGACTTGCAGGTTCATAATCACACTTCTCTAACTGCTTTTGTTGTTGGTAGAAGACTTTTGATACCACAAATTCACCATCTTTTTCTTCTTCATTACGACCAAGATGGTACTGATGCATAACCCAGTTGGTTTTATCAGGTTTTGACCCCTTTGTTGAGTTTCTATAGAGTACCATTATTTTTTTCCGGCCTTTTGGAACCCCATTCTCAATGACAACTTTGGTTGTACCCGTTTTATGCCACCTCACATGACCTCCATCCCAATTGCATTCCCTGTGTATCTTTCGGCGCTTGCGACTACCAGTGGCATAGGCATTGGTTGTTCTATGAAAGAAATGGATGCTGGTTCCATCCATTTTTATGCCTGCAAAAGGAAGGAATTCCATGGTTAGAGCAGAGCTCTAGAGATGAACTCTAAGTTAAGACAAGGAACTAACAAATTGGTGAGTTCTTTCACTTAAATTAGAAAAAGAAACAAATACTAAATGATAGGTATTTAATAAAACTATAATGTATTTTGCACTTTTAAATGATTATCCGAATTACTCTCTCTCTCTCTCTCTCTCTCTCAACATGCAGCATGCAGCCAGAAAGATCAAACCCTCAGCTTCCAGCCAAAAAAAAACGAGAAAAAGAAAGCAAAAAAACACTCGAGTAACAACTTGGCAAGTTCTTCCACTTTTTTCTTAAATCAAAAAATTAAGCACTAAGTAATTGGGAAAATAATTACATCATACTAATACAACGCATTTTGTAGTTTTAAAATTTAAGCTCATCATTCCAAATTAATCTCCCTTTTTCTCCCTCTCAAACCGTCACCTTTCCCTTCCGCCCCTCCCTCGGGGGGCCTTCTCTCACACTCTCTTCCCCTCTCACTCATACAAATCTATAATTTTGCATGAAAAGTTGCAACCCCAACATTATAGGCTGGTTTTTTTACCATGACAATAATGGGGAGGCTCAAATTTCTTAATAATTTATTGGGATTATTGGAGATCAACATCATCAACGTTAGAGCCTTTTCCCAACTAATTGGGGTCAGCAACATGAATCTCCTCTATTGTTCTCTATTAAGAGTCATACCCTCAGTGATGCCATAAGTTCCCATATCTTTTCTCACTACTTCCAACCAATCCTTTTGGGCCTACCCCTTGCCTCTTTTTCGCCTCCCACTTGAACTAACTCGCATCTCCTAACAGGTATTGTACTAGAACTGCACCACACATGGCCAACCCATCCTAAGTCTACTTTCTCTCATCTTATCGCCTATTGGTACCACACCTAAATTCTCCCGAATGTATTCTTTTCGAATTCTATCATTTCGTATCTTGCCACTCATTATCCATCTCAATATGCTCATCTCAGCTACACTCCTTCTATGGGTATGTTGTTTCTTGACTGCCCAACATTCCCCCCCCCATAAAGAAAATCTAGAAGAATTTAGTCTGAAAGTATACTGGTAATATGATGTCATAGGCAACAAGGTTACTAAGGTCCATACTTTATAGGAACACAAAAGAAATCTAATAATATGCATGCATACATGTCTAAAGAACAACAAAATGAGAAAATGCTTGGAGGTGAGTCTTTCTTTATAACTGCTTTGCTATGAACTCTCTCTCTCTCTCACACACACACACACGCACACACACACACTCAACTCACTTGAGTTTGAAAAAGGCTTGCTAGTGACCAAGACGAGTTAAGTCTACTAGGGCAAGTCGACTAAACAAAACCCACAATTGTTATTCACAACAATGTAATTGAATGTGTGAGGTGGTGAGGGGAAACATGAATATGTTTTTTCTTTTTCAATACCTGGAAGATCTTTGGGATGTGTATAGCAAATTCCCTCATCGTTCTCAAGGGTTGGGATGAATTCATCAATAAATGCATGAGCTGTTGAACCCCCAAACCCTACTTTTCCTGCTAAATGCCCTAAGAGCTCAACATCAGATGGATCAAACTTTACGCCTGCAGGCAGACCAGGCCATTCCAGAGAGACCTGCATAAGACATTCCACAATGACCAAAATTTTTAGCATTCTCTTCCCAAGCTTGATGATCTTCTAATATTTATGCATATCATGCAAAAGCTATAATCAAGCATATATTTTCCTAGTTAGGACAAAATAAGATTTATCAAGCAATATGGTTTATAAATAGGACAACAAAAATGGCAGAAGGGGAACAGATGGGAAACCCTCACATGAAACCCATATTACAGAGAATGATGCCCAGGAAAAAATGTGAATTGTCATGAGTAAGAGAGGAAAGCATAGGGAAAATGGTCTGTTTCATTATCCTCAATACGCTTCAGAACTACCAATCTCTTTAGTTCAATACTCTTCTCTTGTTCCAGATTCTCTTATCTCCTTTCTATTGGTAACTTAAATTTTATTGGTTGTGGAATAGAAAACTTATAATTCCTTTACAACTTTAAAAAGAAAAGAACTCAGAGAAGGATAGTAAAAGCATTAAGCTCAGTTTTAATGATCACAGATGTCTGTCTATCCATTCCATCACTAGCAAAAAGTCATCAAGCTCATTTGAAGCCCTCCAAAGTTTCCAGTTTAACTTCAACGTTTAGATTCATATAAATCCTCTTTCCTTCAATATATTATTAGTTTTTTGGATTCCTTCTCAAAGAGAGACTAATGCAGAGAGTAATATTTATTACACAGATACGGCTTCTGACATGGCTAAAAAGTCAATTTGGATTTTATGTGATATACATATAATTTTTAAGTATCTAACTTGGACAACACCTTTTCCAAAATATCCTTGTATAATAGTCAGGCAACAGCGGTGCTAAAGATTAATTCTTCTAACTATGTGCCTTGATTGTGGGCCAATAGGGCATTTTTGTCCCTTTTCCCCTTTTTAATACTTCAGGATATTAGCATAATACTTAAGGGTATTATTGTATTTTGCACATGCATTATTAATATTAATAAAATCAGCTACCTCTTCATTTTCCCAGCTACCCTCTCTCTCTCTCTCTCTCTCTCTCCTCTCTCTCTCTCTCTCTCTCTCTCTCTCTCTCTCTCTCTCGTCTCTACTACTACTAGTACGTACTACGTACTAGTACTACGTACTACTTACGTTAC